TATAATTTAAAAAAAAAAATAAATATAACAAGTTATTGTTTCTCATGACAAAAACTTTTATACGCGAATGATGGTTATCAAAACTTTTATACGCGAACGATGGTTTTCAAAACTTGAATATTTCATAATAAATTTTATTATTATTATTCTCTTTACAACTCTAAAAATCTCAGTAAAAAATCTTAAATTTCAAAATCTTTTTCAACTAAAATCTTTTTCAACAACAAAAAAAAAGGATTGATTTGAACGAGAGAGAATTTGGTTAACATTTTTGAAAAAATATCACCATTTTTTTAATGTATTTTTAAAGAGAAACTTCTGTATTTTTAAAATTTCAAGATTGTAATAAGGTTTTAAACATTATTTTAAACATTATGCGCATCAAACTAAAAACCTATCATTTAACCAAACCTTATAAAAAAATTGAATTTTTCAAAGTTAAATAAGTAGGAACTTTTTTTAAAAATGTAAAATCAATATGTTAAGTTTGCGAGCCGAGTTTAACCGTTTTTCATTTTTATCTTTGAGAAAAAATATCTAGAATCTAGATATAGTATCTAAGATATTATATGATAGATATATAAAATATCCTGATAAAATTTCAACATGTTCTGAAAAAGGTATTTCAAGATCTTGAAATACCTTTTTCAGAACACGTTGAAATTTTATCAGGATATATTAAGGGTCAAATAGATTGACATGAGAGAAGCAGTTTAAATTTCCTTGACTCCTATTTCCCGTAACCATTAAAACATTTTTTTCTATGTTACCACAGCAACAATTGTTATAAATAAAAACTTCTTGTTCAAATCAATCCTTTCTTTGTCGTTGTCATTTTAATTCAAAAACATTTTGAAATAAAAGATTTTTTATTAGGATTTTTTTTTTTCCAATCAATAAAAAGACTTTTCTTTTTATTGATTTGGTTTCTATGGTAGCAGTACCCAAAGCAGTTAAAATTTTTATATAATTTTATAACTTTTTATAATTTTTACGCAAGCTACTCATCATAGAGTTCTTTTACATTCCTGATACATAATTTCTGTTCTGCCTAAAGGATTTAATGGTTTAGCCCTAGCTTTTGCAACATTGTAGCTTTTTAAAATACTTGTTTCTTTACAAAGATGATCGTTACGAAGATGATCAAATACTCTAAGAAAACCATTCACACATTGACTTTATCAGCATTTATCTCTCGTTGTCACAAAATAAATAAATAAAATAATTTATCTCTCGTTGTCACAAAATAATTGAACATTGTTGGATAATTAAAAAAGTCCGCTGGATATAATTGTAGGACTTATTTATAACTATTAATGTGTTATTGTACTAGATGACTTTTAATCTTTTTAACGAAAAACTGTGATAAAACGCATCATAAATTAATTACATAGCTTTCTCAAAATATACATCCCTCTTTTAATCTAATCCTTGTTTAATATTTTGTCTCAATCCTTGTTTTTATCCTTTTAATTTTAATCCTTGTTTAATATTTTGTCTCAAAATAATAGCGATCATTTACCAGTATCAAATAATATTGGACTCATAAATAATCTCTTCAAGGAAAAAATCGACAAAATAACGTACATTAAATCTGAACTATGCCTGGAATAACTAAGCGCCTTTCAAGCCCAATTTATATGGAGTGGTAGAGCCTTTCAAGCCCAATTTATAAGAAGTGGTAGAGCCTTTCAAGACCAAAGTTATTGTCTTAAAATTTATGTGGAGTGGTAGAGCGTTCGCTTCGTAAGCAAGAAGTTCTGAGTTTAATCCCCACCACGTGTTTGGTGGGTACATTACAGTGTCTAGTAGTTGCGGGCACATAAAAATCATTACTATTTAATTTGCCCTAAATCCTAGCTTCTAGGCAAGCGCGCTAACCACTGCGCTACGGCTGCTGATATATATATATATATATATATATATATATATATATATATATATATATATATATATATATATATATATATATATATATATATATATATATATATATATATATATACTATATATATATATATATATATATATATATATATATATATATATATATATATATATATATATATATATATATATATATATATATATATATATATATATATATATATAAAGTTAAAATGCGGGGAAAAAAACTAGACAAAAGCTTTTAGAGCATGCAAAAACAAATACAGTAAAAGAATGAGACTTTTCTGAGGGATGAGTCAAGCGAAATTGAGTTTTAGTTGATAGAACTAAAAATGATAGCTCCTTGAAGCAGCGACCATGATAATAATTGTTGAAAAGAAAAAAAGATACAACTTTACGACCCGCTCTATTTGCTAAGCTTTGGGCCTCTTGGGAAAGAGGCCCAAGCTTAGCAAATAGAGCGGGTCTAACTACATTTACAATGCATTTTTACACTTTGTCTAGGAAAGAAAGAGCATCATTAGAAGAACCAGCCCAAGTATAACAACAGTATTTCATATAGAAACGAATAAGAAATTTGTAGAGGTAGAGAACGGAAACAGGAGTAAGAAAAGGGCGAGCACATAAAGAGAAACAACCTTACCAAATGCTAATTTAGCAATCCACAAAAGGTGATAAGTAAATGATAATAAGAGGAGGACTAAGTGAGAGGGTTGCACTTATTAATATAGGAATTTAGACAGTACAGCGATAGTTGTTTGCAGTAAACTACTGAGTTTTGTTGGAGTTTAATTTCACAAGCCACAGTGAGCTTTAATCTTTTACAAATGGGAGATTAGATTCAAGATCGGCTGCCTGTTCTAAGCAATCAAAAAGAGAAAACTTTTTTTCAAGACAGGAGTATAAAGTTGAGTCAGCAAAAAGGGCTACTTTAAAATGTAAGGTCTAGAAGATCATTGATGTAAATAAGAAACAAAACAGGACCAAGGACCTTGATGTACCCCAGAAGTTACTGGAAATAAAAAAGAAACTTGGCCTTCGAGGATGACTTTAATAAAGCGGTTAGAAAAGAACGACTTGATAATCTCAAAACTTTTCCAGATATACCATATAAAATAAGCTTATGGAAAAGACCAGCATGCCAAACTTTATCGAAAGGCTTAGACAATTTCGGAAATTGGAACAACAGATGCCATTTTCAGCAAGCAGAAAAACAGTCAAGCACCTATTAAATGGTTTAGAGAGAATTGAAGAGAGTTCTGGAGGCCAATTTTGTAAGACTATTACAGAAATTTTGACTGAGCGCAACCCAAAGAAGAGTTGAATCAAGATATAACTTTAGCGACAGAGGCTCGGGTGATTTGGATGTCTAACTATGGATTAATCTGTTTAATTGGAATGGGAGAAAGAGAATGATTATAAGATTTAAGAGTCGAGTTAAAAGAAAATGATGAAAAAAATGATTACGATTAGCTTCACAAGAGTGTGAAAACCATGGAATAGAATGAGACTTGAGTAGGAACTGACAAGATTGACTAAAATCTTCCATTTCAGCCTGAATCCAGAAGGTTACGTAGGAGGCAAATTTTTTAGCTGAGAGGCTACTTCTTGCAAACAGCACCTTGAAACATCGGGAATGATATTTTAGAAATGAATTAGGAAAAATAAATTACATCTAACAAATTACTAAAGATAAGGGATAGCGTGAAAATAATTTTGACCTTCATTTAAAAAAAGTATAAGTTAATAGTATTGTTTAATATTAATTAGTACGATTTAAAGAAAAAATAAAACAGTTTAAAATAAACTGTTATAATACAAATGTATAAACTAATGAATGTAATAATTAAGAAAATGGTGATAACTATTTATCAAAGTATTATAAAATACAAGAAAATATTAGACTTTACTATTAGTAACTCAATGATTCACACATGGGTAATTTTATACTAAGAGCGCTTTCAAAAAATGGCTTTTTGACATGCTCAGCAATGTTTGGAAAAAATAGCAGTGATTAGAATTCGGGAACAAGAAACCGCTAAAACGTTTCTGTCATAAATACTGATAATATAACTTTAAAGTTAGAACCTTGCCTCTACACTAATAAAATAAAGTGTAAACAACAAGTTAATAAAATAAAAAATTTAAAAAAAAAAAAGTTTTTTTTGACTTACCTAAACCGTTTGTTACAAAGTTAGGTGTTTTCTGGTATTTTATAAATAAAAAATAAATAAGAATGATAATAAAAATTGCTATTAAACAGTAGGTTGATTCCAGTGGATAATCAAAAAAAGGAGCTACTGTAAAATAAACAGAACTTAACAAAACTAAAATGGGCAACCCAAGGAACACCTAAAAAAACAAAAATAAAAAAATTATAATAATAAAAAATAATAGCATAAATAACTAAACTATGTCGCTAAAAAAAAAATAAAGGAAAACTTTTTTTGACTGTGGTCTTTAAAATTATTAACATAAGTTACTTTGAAAGGTCTTTCTATATCTGGTCTTTTATATCTCAGAAATAACAAAGATGATACTGTTAAGCCAAGAAGTGCTGCGTTAATAAACGAAGTGTATTTCAGCAACGTTCCAAAGTTAGATGATTTTGGTATAAGCATAAGTAATGAAACAATGCACTAAATACAAACAAAAGTAAATTTTTTAAGTAAATAAATAGATGTTTTCATCTAAAAAACAAAAAATTTATTTTAGAATTAAATTTTTTTTCAAGAAAATAATTAATCTATAAAAACACCTGCCTCTATATACAAGAGAGGAGCTAAGAGGGGTATGGGAGAGTTTTTTTTTTGTTTGTTTGTTAAAAACGGTATAAAAACAACTATTAGCAAAAAAACTTGAACTTTGGCGTATTTGCGACGATAGAAAATTTCTTTTAGAAAATATTATTTACATATTGTAAAGTAATTGGTTTTTGTACTATTTTACAAAAAACGTGACGTAATTATGAAATCGTCCCGTAAACCACTTTGTCACGCGAGGTCTCATTTTCAAAAAACAACTTCTCAAGAGGTGAGGTAATAGTTTTATAAAAAAATATTAAATAAATTTTATTAGAAAAGTGAACAATCTTAAAGACTTACGATAAACACAAGGGATGTGACCGGTGTGTGACGTTTCTTATGTATAAGCGAAAAAAGCCTTGGCACATGACCTTTTTGAGCAATTGCATTCAACATTCTAAAATAAGAAGAATAAAGTCTGTTTGCATTTTATGAAAGTTTTTTTTATTTATTATCATTACAATTGAAAACTGGTAGTTTAAAAATGTTTACCTACTGCTTGATATCAAGCCTCCATTTGAAGCACCAAACGATGAACATGCCACCAAAACAGGTATGATCAAAGCTGCAGAGCCATAAACTTGATTTCCAAATGTCTAAATAGACGTATTAATGTTTTTTTAGAGCGCCTACCAATGTAATTTTACATATAAAAATTAAGAGCTTTTTTGGAATAATTAAGAGCTTTGTTGGATTAATTAAGAGGTTTTTCAGAATAATTAAGAGATATTAATATGTTAATAATGAAATCCATAGTTTGTTAAAGTAATTAAAGTCTTAACACAAAGGATGAAGCGTTCTAAATATTTCTACCCAAGCTGATTATGGTATTTTTTTATTGAGTACACTTAAGTTGATAATAGGTCGCAACTTTCTATTGTTTCCTACATTTACCCAAGCTGACATTAGGCGGCAACTTTTTATCGTGTCATACATTTGAATGTTTTTGAAAAAATTTTTTGAAAAATTTTACATCTGAAGCACAGTTGAAACATTCTAATGCCAGCTACTCAAGTCGTATAAAAGCCCAAAAAATTCAGCTGTGGGCGTTGATTAAGGTGCCCCAAGTTGATTAAGGTGCCCCAAGAAGACCTTACGGTCTTATCACAGAACACCGCGGAAGAGCATTTAATAGGAAGTTCACGCCTCCTTTCCAACTGATGTCGCAAAATCCCCCAGAGGTGGGGTTTGAACCACGGATTTTACGTTTCTGAGACAAGTGCTCTACTACAGCGCCACGGCTGCTTGTTGAAGTTTAAATCTTAGTAACAAAAAATAAAATAAAAAGTAAAAAAAACCGTTAAAAAAACAAATAATAAAACTTAATGTAATGTGTTTTTGCGTCTTAAATAAGGAAAATAAGGTTTCCGAAACAACGATGTGACGTAATTTTTTTCTTGTCTAATAATAAGTTGTTTATCTTCTTGGTTATTATCATCTTGTTGTCTCATGCCCAATGAATTGAACAAACTTTGTCCCCAGCAATGATTCTATTTTGTTTTTCAGCGTTCTCTTTTAAATATATTTCAACGTTCAAAAGTTATGAACATATAAAGTTTGAAGCTCACTCAACTTGAGGGGGTTACAATTTAAAAAATTAAACTGATTGAAGTTTGGGAACAAAAAGCCCTAAACCTTTAGCCACAACTGCCCCAAACGTGAGAGCAACAAGTTGATAGAATATTTTTCTCGCTATTCTCAGCTAAAGTTATATTCATCAATAAACTTTAAATTTCATAATCATATAAGATTCAATAATAATTTAAGATTCAAATATTATAACGACACAAAATTTATAACCCCTTCAGAGTTAGGGGATTTAAACTTTGGTCATAATTTTTTAACATTGAGAGATTATAATATGAAAATTTATCGATGAATATAAGTCTAGTTGAGAATAGTACAAAAATTTTTAGAAATTAGTTGTTCTCACGTTCTGGGCAGGAAAAAGGGGAAAATTTTATGGCTTTTGATCCCAGGTTCCAATCATCGCAATTTTTTGCAATGCATTCTTATTTGACATAAGTATAAACATTTCGAGTTATGACATATAAATATTTGGAGTTTGCTCCACGTCTAATGTTTTCTGCAGAATTTTGCAATGTTACTTGTCTGTTTTTATTAAGCAACTTTTAAACAGGTTTAATTAACTCTTGTTTATAAAATGAGAAAATTTTAATTTGTAGAAACATTGTTAAACAAAACAAAAAGAAGCAATCTAAGCGTTAGTACGCATAAATAGTAAACATTCTAAACTTAATTTAATTACGTTTGAGTGAAAAGTTAGACGTTTTGTGAAAAAAAAAAATTTATTAAATGCAAATTAAAGGCTTTTTTTCTTGCGTATTTTCTTCAGTCTTTTCAATTTAAAATAGCTTCTTTTGTATCCCCATTTTGAAAATTTCATTATTTGAACATCCTTACTGATTATCTTCCTAACTTTTTGCGTCATCAAGTTAAATTTGAAACTTCCAATACTATGTTACACTCTGATAAAGTAAAATGATTTATTGAAAAGTAAAAACTACATAAAACTATAATATTTAATGGAAATTTTAAAGTTGAAGAATATTACCACTAACTTTTTTAAATAACATCATTATATTTTCTGTGCAAAATTGAGAAATTTATAGCAATTATACTCGTCAAATGAATTTAAAGTCCGTTTTCAACATCATATTTGTGTGAAACACAATTTTTAAAACTAAAATAAAATCTATCAAAACTAAAATGTAAAATAGCTTTAATTTGATGCATTTATCAGGCCCGTAGCAACCGGGGGGGAGGCAGAGGCTTATGCCCCCTCAATAATTTCTCAAACAAATAATTTTGAAAAAATTGACTGAAAAAATAACTTAAAAAAAAAAAGTTCCTTAAAACTCTTTCGGGGCCCCTTAATACAGCACTGCCCACCAATATATTTTTTGTTTCTACGGGCCTGTGTATATGATGTACTCTATCAAAAAGTGAACTAAATTTCCAGAAATTATAGCTGGCAAGCAGTACAAAAGCTCACATTGAGATTTTATATTACATTTCCAAAATAAGTAAGATATAACTTTGTGTCATTTACATTGCTTAACTTATTCTGTTGGTAGTCCATTCAAAAATTTATTTTTATGAATACTATGAATAGTTTTTAAGACTAAAATATTTTATGATACACAACTTTTTTTTTTATGTTTTACTTTAGTTCACTTTCAACAAGGCCTAAACATGACAACAGTATTCCTCGTAAAGACAAATAAGACCCCTGCAAAAGTAAAGAATAGAATCAAGAGTGAGCACAAAAAAATAAGCGACGCCAGCAAATTTTCAATTTATCTTGCACACTAATTTCATGAAAGGTCAGCAATGAACAACAGTCTGAGAAGACATAAAGAAGAAAACTCAGTAAAAGGGTTGCAACTCATTAATATAGGAATGTTGACAGTATTGCTTAGCTGTAAATAACTGAGTTTTGTTGAATTTTAAATTTACAAACAATCGAAAAGAGAAGACTCTTTGTCAAGACGGAATATAAGTTATGCCTGACAGATACTTTTATTTCTTATCAAAATTAATGATGTTCCTAAAAAAAGAAAAAAGATTAAATTTCAAAAATTTTCCAAAATACACCATAAGAAGCAAGATTATGAAAAATACCAGAATGCCTTATGAAAAGCTGTATTAAAAGATATATTAAAAGAAATAGCCTCGGTCTTGCTGCCTCCATCTAACTACTTAGGGAATGGGTTAGAAATGGTTGGGAACCGCTAATATAAAATCAAAATACGGATGTCATATAAAACTTCTTATAGCAAATTCGCAATAACAATAAAAAAATTACTTTCTTAATTGCTGTTCGAATTCTTATTTTGTCTCTTGTTTAAGCCAAAAAACAAACCTGTCTTGGGTCTCAGTTTCAAAACGTAAATTTTTTTTTTTAATCTTTAAATACATTTCAAGGTAAAATGTATTTTTTTTTTATAGGTATAGAACTTTAATTTAGTAACACATTTTTAATTGGCGGCCATTTTTTCAGCTGTCAAATGATTTATGTTCAGTTTGGTTGTGATTTATGTTCAGTTTGAACAACGCTTTCGAATTGTGCAAATTTATTTTGAAAATCATGGTTCTGTTCGAAATATGTATTAAGTACTACGTAATCGTCCAATATCAGCATAATTGTCCATCAAAGCAATTAGTTCTATTAACAATGGAACGTTTTTGCACCACGTTTACTCTAAATGATAATACGTATTCACAAAGACTTCGTACAGTGCGTACAGAAGAAGTCATTGCTGCTTCAGAGCGTAGCGTAGAGGAAGAATCGAACTAGTCTAACCGCAATTGTGAACAGGAATTGGATATGTGTCCATTCACTTTAAGGAAGATTTCGCAAAAAGATCTTAATTTGCGTGCTTAAAAAACCCAACTCGTTTAAGAATTGAAACCCCATGATCATCTAGCAAGACTTGAATTCGGTGAATAGGCCCAAAACAAGATAACCGATGATCCCGCTTTTCATTAGCGAATTTTGTTTAGTAATGAAGCTCACTTTTCGCTGAATAGATATGTCAATAAACAGAACTTCCGTATTTGGAGTGATGATCTTTGATCTTTAAGGGTATGTTGAGTCACCGTTACATCCAGAAAAATTTACTGTTTGGTGTGCTTTATGGGCTAGCGGAATAATTGGTCTGTACTTTTTTAAAAACGATGCTGGCCAGAACGTAACAATCAGGCTTGGACCGGGAGATTCCCGGTGGGCCGGTTGCCCCTAAAGTAGTTATCATATTTTTAGTTAGGCTACATTTTATTTCCCGTGGATTATTATAACCAACGGTAAATTCAAATGTAACTAAAAACATAATAACTTTTTTTTGGTCTCTAATTACATCTAGTTACAGGGTAATACATCTGCCAGCTAATTATATAAATTTTGGTGGCCATCTTTAGCTGACCGAAAGTAGTATTATATTAGCGTAAACAAACCAAATTAGTTAACAAATGTTAAATTATTTATTTTATAATATAAATTTTGTATATCTTTTAATTTCTTGTTTTGTATATCTTTTAATTTGTTGTTTTTGTTGCATTTTGTGTATTGTTCACTGACAGAAAAGTCACAGATTGGTATAATTGATAATATTTTGTTGTTATAAGTTATGTTTGCTGCACTATTTACTTTGTTGATTGCACATCGAAATTTTGTCGGCAAGTATTAAGTATATGAACTCAATGGCGGATTTAGGCAAAAGCTAACATTGGCTGCAGCCTATGAGAGACACGAGGCTGGTTTCATCCGAATTAATTTGTCTAATAATTATTCACATGTTTAGTATTCGAAATTCGAATACTATTTATCATTATTTTGTAAATAAACAACGTAAATAAATAAATATCTAAGAAACTTAAGTTATTGATTTTTTGTAAATTGACATGTTACAAAAATTTCATGATATTTCTACATCAATTAAGTTCTATAATGATGTCCGTTACAGAGTGAAAGCTCTTTTAGATTCATTGACAAGTTTTAAATTTATTTTGATGGCGCAATTGTTTTTAAAAGTTTTGAGCACACAGCGCCATTGTTTGAATATTTGCAAACAACTGGAATGGATATCCGTTTATTAATAAACCAACAAGGGTAACTTCAATGTCTGCTTTCTTAAGAGATAACATTATGACTACGGATATTTTTAATGAGTCCATCAAAAAGGGTTTAATTAAAAGCGATGCTTCAGATCATTTCCCGATTTTTTTCTCGATAAATATTGATATTGACTTAGTACCGAAACAAAATCAAGTTTACTTCAAACGATGCTTTAGCCAAACAAACATAATGTCGTTTAATGAGCAGCTATCCTTACTACACTGTAAACATATAAATTTTCCTTCAGAAGCAAATCTAGTTTATAACTCGTTCTTTAAAATATTTTTTAAAGTTTATGACGCAAACTTTTCTTTATGCAAAGTAAGTCAAAAAAAAAAAGCATTAAGTAGCCATGGATTACCAAAGAACTTAGAAAATTGTCCAAAGTTAAACAAAAATTGTATGTTAAGTATCAAAAGTCAAAAAGTATTAAAAATAAGGCGATTTATAAAAATCACGTTAAAAATTTTGAAAGTCAAAGAAAAAACTTAAAAAAAAAATACTGCTCAAACCTACTAGAGAAGTTTAAGCATAACTCAAACCGCACGTGGCAAGTTTTAAATGAAATCACTGGTAACCATAAGATTAAAACATGCAACTTACCAAAAGTTATTAGAAACAATGATGATTTCATATATAATCCAAAAGATTATATAAAGATAGCTAATCAGATAAATAACTATTTTGTATCTGTTGGTCCTAATCTAGCAAAAAATATTCCAGTTGTAACCAACAAAACAAATTATTTTAGCCTTCCCAAAATTTCTGTACTTAATAATTTTGAAATTTCAATGAAAGAATTTGAATGTGCTTATAAAATAGTAAAAACAAATAAAGCGAGAGGTCAGGACGAAATAAATAGTAGCATTATTATGTTACTCTTACGAGATCATAAAAACTATACTATTCAAAGTGTTTAGTTACTTAATAAAACAAGGAATAAAAATTCCTGGGCAACTGAAGATCGCTAAAGTTACACCAATATATAAAGGTGGTGAATTATCAAATATAACTAATTATCGACCAATATCTGCACTCTCTTGCTTTTCAAAGATTTTTGAAAGAATTCTTTACAACAAAATATATGAAAACCTTTCTAAAAATAAAATATTAAATGCCAGTCAATATGGAATCAAAAAAAATAATTCCACGAAATACGCAATACTTCATGTAATTCGTAATATTGCAGATTCTTTTGAGAAATCACAATTTACTCTTGGAGTTTTCATTGATCTATCAAAAGCCTATGATACGATATATTATGAGATTCAAAAACTTAAAAAATATGGAATCAGCGGAAATTCATTAAATTTGCTAAAAAGCTATCTGAGCAATCGTAAACAGTTCGTGCAAATTGACGCATCCTCCTCAAAAATTTTTCTCGATTTAAAATGTGGTGTTTCCCAGGGTCTATACAGGGCCACTACTTTTTCTCATTTATGTTAATGATCTGTACAATGCCTCAAATTTGAAGACAGTAATGTTGATACAAATAATAATGATACAAATGTTATGATGATAATGATAATGATGATACAAATCTTTTTCTATCCAGTAAAAATATCATTACACTATTTAATGAAATCAACATAGAACTAATTAAAATTTCAAATTGGTTTAAGTCAAATAAACTATCAATTAACTTCGAAAAAACTAAATGGACTTTATTACATCAAAAATCCCAAAAAAAACTTTTACCAAATGATATGCTTCATATATATATTGACAATGTTCAAATAAAAAAATCAAAAGTTATACATTTCCTTTGGTGTTTTCACTAATGAAATTTTTTTTTTAACTTGGAAAAACCATATCGAAATTTTGCGCAATAAAGTTTCAAAAAATATTGGAGTAATGAATAAAGCGAGAAATTTTGTAAATAGACATCATTAATTCAACTTTATTACTCGCTAATTCAATGCCATAAAAACTCTGCAAATATCGCATGGGGTAGTGCTAAAAAACCCAATTAGATCCTCAATATCGGCAACAGAAGCATATAGCACGTTTGATAAACTTTAAAGGTCGTTATACTCGTGCCAGACCTCTTTTATTGGAAATCAATATTCTTAATATATACCATCAAAATGTTTTTAATGTTCTTTTATTTATGTACAAATGTAAGATAAATCTAACCCCTATATCGTTTCAAAATTTATATGCAAAAAAAAAACAAAAACAAATATGACTTAAGAAATGACAATCTTATTCATCAGCATTATTCTCATACAAGTTTTAGAAGATCTCTTTTAACATATCGCGGAGCTTTTCAGTGGAACAAAATAGTTTTGAAAAATTTTGATTTTTCCCAAAGCTGGAGTTTTCTTACTTTTAAAATTAAGCTGAAAAAACTTATCTTGTCAATTGATAATACCTTTGAGTTTATACCTTTGAAAAAGTGTGTCATTCCTGAATTTATAGTTTTATTTTGAAATATTTTGTTTTATATATATTCTTTATGTTATTAAACGTTATTTTATGTTTTAAAATATCTGGTTAGATTTAAATTTTATTTCTAAACTCATTTATTGTAATATTTAACTGGTTATATTTTTACTGCATTGTTAAACAGTTGTCAGTGACAGGATCTTACGATCCTCTTTGAGTCTCCATGTTCTGATATTTAATGTACAACGATATTTATACCATAGTATATTGTAGCAAGAACAAAAAAATATATATATATATACATATATATATATATATATATATATATATATACATACATATATATATGTATATATATATATGTATATATATATATATATATATATATATATATATATATATATATATATATATAAATATATATATATATATATATATATATATATATATATATATATATATATATATATATATATATATATATATATATATATATATATATATATATATATATATATATATATATATATATATATATATATTGTTCTTGCTACAATATACTATGGTATAAATATCGTTGTACATTAAATACCAGAAAACGGAGACTCAAAGAGGATCGTAAGATCCTGTCACTGACAACCAGTCAGTGACAGGATCTTACGATTGAAAATTTTTACGATTGAAAAATGGAATCATCTTAAAGGCTCTTGTATACTAAGAGCCTTTAAGATGATTCCATTTTTCAAGCAGCTACAAATTTCTCAGAACTTGCAAACAGTGAACTGGGAAAACGGAATATCGACATTGAAGTTCAGATTTGAAAGAGAAAAGTATAAGAGCAAACCAACTACTTGGGCGAATGATAAATTTCGTTTCAATGTTCACAACATAGTAATGGATCAAGTAATCAGTAGTTTAAAACAGAGATTCTAAGAGCATGGTAGTCTATATGCTGATTTATCTTGTTTAGATCCAGAAAATTTTGCAGAAATTTTGAAAAAAAATGTCTACTGATGCATTGCCGAGATGAGTGGTTTGCTCAGAAAATTTGATGCTAGCGTAAGAAAAATCAGCATCAAACGGAATTATTGGACTTTGCAAGGAAATGGGAGAGTTGCGAACTAACTCTTGAAGATTAACGCATTTTACTATTTAACACAGAAGTATCTGATTCTGTCCCGAACAATTTCCAACAATCTAAATCCGTATAATTTGAAACTGTCTTCACAATCCCAAAAGTAGAAAACAATAACAGATACAGAAATAAATGCAAATCTTGCAAAAAAATGTATTGCTTGTTGTTACTTTGTTCTCCAAAAGTTCAACTGGCATAGTCTTACGTGTTCAAACTTGTTTTTGCCTTACAAATTTGTGCTGACATTATCCTCATCACAAGTTGCTTGTGAAAGGTTTTTCTTTTTTTTTTTTCATATTTGAAATATATTTTGAACAGATTAAGAAAATTGATGAGCCAGTCAAGTTTACAATCATTCATGCTGGTGTCTTGTGAAAAAGACCTTTTTCTAAAAATTAATAACGATGCAATCATTGATGTTTTGACATCGACTTTTCAAACAATTAAAAAGTTGCTATAACAGTCGATATTGAATAGCGGTTGTGCCTGGCTTTAAAAAGGACTTCTAACTTTAAAATTCATACCATAAAATGCTAAGAATTTGAAAAAATAACTTAGATTTATTCAAAGATAAATATAAATGCTAATTAAGATTGCTATACTGTTAATATGATCAGTTGTCGCACAAGTCATATTAACAATGAGACATTCACACTACATAAAACATTTTCTTAGTTTGCATTATGACCGCCATTTTGAAAAAGTATAAATGTTTCAAAAAGTGACCAAAATATGAATAACAAAATAACTTATATAATTTTATTGAAAATTATGCTGCTTGAAATATATATGTTTGTACAACACATTTACTTATAAGTTGTTGTTTTTTTTCAGGTTTATTATGGTAATTACTTACCACTCCTACCGCACTCGAACAGGCAATTTCCGATGGCGTCATTACAGTTAAGTATGCCAAATTAACAGTAACATAGAAAAATATGACCGACATCATTCCAATCCACATTGCAAGTTGAAGATCTCTAATAGGGTTTTTGAGTTCTGCTGATATTGCGGGTAAATTATTATACCCACCGTAGGCCCAAAAGCCTCCGTAAAAAGCATAACAAATATCTGAGATGTTTGTCTTTGAACCTTTGAAAAGTTGCTTAAAATTTTGAAAATTACCTAGAAAAAAAGAAAACTAAGTTAGTAAAACAATAAAGTTATTAAAAAAATAGTTTAAAACTTGTTACCTCATTAGAATAAAGCAGAAAAAATTTGTAATGGAGAATATATCTTATACTGTTGATTTAGGTGGGAGGTGTGACATCAAACTGAAAAAGCCTGCTGCCGGGGGCTTCAGTACATACATCGATTGAAAAATAGCCTGACTCGCAGTGGAGTGATGCTACATAGCCTTAGGGTTTTGGAATGGGTTAGCTACCTTTTTTTTCATTATTCTTTGTTTTCCCTTTTCATTTTCTAAAAAAACCTATATCGATTTAGATGAGCAAAAAAAGTGAGCGAGTGCGCAAACAAATATGCTGTAGTAGATATATATATATATATAATGCAATAGTTATGTTGAATATTTTTTTTTGAACATTGAATAAATCTTTTGAAAATATTTTTCGATCACGTTGTAGAAAATCTTGTTCTGAATAAGATGTTATTAAAAAGTTAATATTTTTTGAAAAATAGTTAAATTTTCGGCCGCGTAATAATATTTGTTTCTTTTTCCGAAAAATGGAAAAAACTTTTGAAAAAGCTAAGTAAAACTTTTGATAGTGAAAATTGCTATTAGTAAATTTAAAATGCATCCCTATTATAGATTTTTACGCCATTTTTTTTTCAAGAAAATTATTTGGCTTTTGCTATAAATTTAGGAAAAAGCTAAAATAAAAAATGAATCAATTTTTTTAAATTTGGAAAAAATTCTTTTTCCTTTTTTTTAGGAAAAGTATTAAAAATGTATATTTGAACTTAATCCGAAATCAATTTATTTGGCATTTGGATGTCACAGTCTCAACTTAATTCTTGGAGACACGATGGAAGCCTAATGGAGACATGATGGAGATATGGCTAAATCATCCGTCATTGCAATGACAATTTTTTGAGTTTTCCACCAAATTTATCTTTTTTATTTGATTTTTCAAAAAAAAAAGGATAAATTTGATTTATGAAGATCTGTCACAGCGGTGACAGATCTTCAAAACTCATGTACAAAACTAAATATACAGTAAATCCAATTTCCGATCCACGCTGAAAATGTAGAACTAATTATATGAAAGCTGTTTTTTATCAAATAACAACAGTGTACAATGCATTGATAGATGTGGCTAAAAATACCAACAATTCAAAAGATAGAGTGGGTTACCTGAAAACGTACAAATGCGTAAAACAAAAATGGAGAGGGGTGTTAAAGTTAGTATGTCCGTGGATTATCTACCTCTCCTAAAACTTTATAAATATTTTTTTTTTAACAAAAGCATTGAACTTCACGATTTAAAAAAATTAAAATTACGTCAAGTAACAAAAAAACGTTAAATTAATCGCTCTTTTTTGTTTTTAATGTTTTGAAACTTTACGCATATGAAAAGGTTTTTTTTGTAATATATAATGCGTAGGTACACAGAAAAAACTTATCCTGGAAAAGGATTCAAAGGGTTGGAAGACGGAAAGGGGTTCATTTAAAGCATTAAGGTGTATACAAGAGAGAAAGGAGGATCCTAAATTAACGGTTTTACTGCGTACGTACTTTATGGATGCCTCCCTACTGGACTAACAAAATAAACAAAAAACTTTCCATTTTTGTTTACTTTAACCATCCAACACAATTCATTGTTTGAAATCAATCAGCAAATTGATGCAAAAAAATGCAATGTGACATTGCATTGGAATGTATAAAAAATGTAATCGAGTTTATGAAAAAATACAAACAAAATTGGTTTGTATCTGCTCAAACTTCAGCCAGAGAATTGGGTTAAGAATTAATTGAGATTTTTAGATCAAATTTCTAGTTGCCATTAGCTTAAGAAAGAAAGCGAGTAAACAGTTCAATTATAAAAGCATAGATAAATCATTAAGATTAAAAAGAAAAATATCGAGTGGAATTTTTTAATGGTTTGTTAGATTATGCAGTTATTTTGTTAACTACACGTTTCGAGCAAATAGAACGTCACTTTAGTCTTTTTGAATATCTGCACAATATCAAAAAATTACGCCAAAATGGTTTGATGAAATCTCACTTTAAAATTTATAACATATACATGTCACAAAATTTAAACCTCCTCTTCTAATTCAGGTGTGTACAAACTTGAATGCTCCTGCAAAAAAAGTTATATCAGTGAAACAAAATTGAAAAATCTTATTTCGTATTTACCAACATTTAAATAATACAAAAGAAAATGGGAAAATTCAGTAATAGCGGAACATTCAGAAAATTGTCATGGTAATTTTGCATAGAAAAATAAAATACTCTAAAAGTAGAGGTTAACAATTTCAATAGAAAATTGAGAGAGGCACTTTAAATACAACTTCATGAATGTGCACCTTCAAACAGCGGTCTGATTTATGACAACGGAGGTTACTTACTTTCGGAAACTAACTGAACCATTTTTTACATCATTCACAATTAATTCAAGACTTTGCTGCCATAAAAGAACGAAAAGTTTATTTTTGTTGAACGTTGATGAAATCTGCATTAATGAGACATTTTCCGGTGTGAAAAACTCAATTAAAAAGCTTAACTTTAACAATAAGCAGCAAGCAACGCAAGCTTAACTTTAATGATCACGGATTTAAACCTCGTCAAGTCCTGCATGTGAAGGAGTAAAAAAATATATATAAATACTGGTATCATAATGCCTACCACCCACCATGGAAGACGTCATGGTACCATTATTTTTAAAAAGATGTAAAAACTTTACAGAGGTTGCAAAATTTATTTTATTAAACTTGTTAGTGTAAACTATACTTTGCAGTAAATGAGAAAATTAGATAAGTTAATAAGTTCCTTGCTATTAAAAGTAGCAATCTAATTCGTTTAAAAAAACAACATCTGCAACAGTTATTTGATTGATTGCAAATGAACGGGTCATTTTAGAAACATCATAAGTCAAAAAAAAGCAAATTTTGGAAAAAAAATCATTTTAATAGTTCATAAAAATGTTAATGGTTTTTAAAAAATTAGCATATATATTTTGTACTAACTAAAACAAAGTAGTGTTAAAATTTAAAAAAAAAAAGTTACTTTACGTCTTTTTAGGGTATTTTTTATATCACTGGTTTATGTTGTTTCTGAAATGAACAGACATAAAAACCAAGAAAAAATTATTTTTATGAATGGATTTGTTAAAATGAAGACAAAAATCAACAAATCAGTTTTAAAAACTTATACCAATGTATAATATAATACTTTTGGTACCATAAAAGAAACTTTTTATAAATAAAATAGTGTCCATTTTGTGATGAAAATTTGTAAGGTAATGTTTAAACTACAGTGGCTCAAACTCTGGACCAGCTTTTTCTACAGTGGGCCAATTCAGAGTCTGGTCATAAACTCTTTAATATCTTCATCATCTGGAATGTACGCCATAAGTTTATAGACTTTAGCAATCTTCTTATTGTTGATTGGAAACCCTCAACAGGATAAGTTTTGGCTGTAAAAAGGCACTGAACGATTGGAATTTTTCAAAGAAAATGTTTGGAACTGAAGTCCATCAATATATTTTCAGCAAATTACTTTTCTCTTTGTTTTAGTTTTGTGGCTCATATGCATAAAAGTGCTGAATTTAAATATACTTTTTCGTTCTTGGGCGCATTGCGGCCAGCTGTTTTATTGGACAACATTGTTTTTTTATAAAATTGAGGCCACCAGTTCTTAAAATCAGAAAAATTAATGTCAGCGTTTTTTACGATGATAAAAGAAAACGTATTTTTTTGGAGAATGAGAGAATCAGATCATTATACTCTTAAATGCTATCAGTTTTCCGGATTTTTCCTTTCAAGACAGAAAAGTCCAGATTACAAGGAAGAAAAGAGTGACACCTCAGAAAAAAGTATTGGTCAACACTCATAACCTTGTTTAGTGATACATGTGCAGAACATATTCTAAAAAAGTAAGTTTTTTGTTTTGGTCCCCGCAACCGTCAGAAAACACATGCAACTCTTTTACATCATTGCAGGAAGATTCTATATATAGGCTCCTTTGCACCAACCCCTTTATAATCCAAAAAAAATAAAGACAAAAACTATTATTGTCCATTCAAACGTACTCGGTTGTATCAAGATTTAACAAAATTTTTATCAAAAAGTATTTTGTTTAATCATAATAAATAGAGTACAATATAAAGCGTCATGGACCTCCTCAAGCGTCATGGACCTCCTCAAGCGTCATGGACCTCCTCAAGCGTCATGGACCTCCTCAAGCGTCATGGACCTTCTCAAGCGTCATGGACCTCCTCAAGCGCTTTTGAGTTTTAACATCAATGGATGGCTAATAACTTAATTGAAAGTGCTCTAAAAAGATTTTAAAGTGTTTTGTTAATTCAAACCATAACAGTGTTTTACCAATTCGAACCAAATGCTTAACAAAACTACGTTAGCTTAACTTTAATGATGAGCAGCAAACAACGTAAGCTTAAATTTGATAATGAGCAACAAACAAACAACAATAACAACAACCACAGCAACAAACTAATTCAATTGTAAAAAGTGGCATAAAGTTTTGAAAAAGCTTCAACAAATCTAAATAGTGAATGTTACTAATAAGAAAATTCAAAATGAAAGGTTTGGCTTTGTCAACATATATACTAAAGAATTATTTAAAAAACGCCGCATTTTATTGCAATAAAAATTGCTGCAAAAGTGAAAAATCAATTCAATTTCCAGAATCTCTCTACGACTCAACATCATTACAAGAACGAAAAAGAAAATTATTAGTTGATGGTTTTTTTAATTGTTAGTTTTTGTTGTTGTTTAATTGTAATTAATGTTTTTTTTTAAATGGTATTATTGGTCCTCTCCTTTAGTTAAGTGCTTTTTTAATTACCCAATGGTTTTCATATTTATTTTTTTTTTTTTTTTTAAATATTAGGTGTCCCAAGAAGTCTTTACGATCTTATCACTTAGCACCTTAAAAGAACGGTGTGCAAAGAGCACACCGCGGAAGAACGGAAGAGCGAAGAGCATTTAAAAGGAAGTTAATGCCTAGATCCTTGCCGATGTTATAAAACTTGTCCAAAGGTGGCTTTGAACCACGGATTTTTAGTTTTTGAGGCAAACGCGCTAATCACTGCGCTACAGCTGCTAAAATACTTCATACTTCCAAAATGTGAGCAGTGGTGTACACTCGACTTTTAGATGTTTGAGTTTTGACACTTATAGGTATTGTGCGAACTCCAAGTTTTTATATGTTCATGCTTATGTCAAATGAGAATGTTTTGCAAAGAGTTGCGGTGATAAGAGCTTGGGGACAAAAAAATCCAATTTTTGGGCCCACCCAGCCCTTAACGTGGGAGCAACAAGTTGATAAAATAATTTCTTTAGTATTTTTATCTAAGTTTATATTCATCAACAAATTTCAAATTTCATCCAATAATTTCTTTTTTTTCAAAAATTATGACCATATAAAGTTTTAACCCCCCTCAATTTGAGGAGGATGTAAACTTTGTAGGGTCATAAAAACTAAAAACTAAGAGGTTATTGCATGAAATTTGAAATTTGTTGATAAATATAAACTAAGATAAAAACACTAAAGAAATCATTTTATCAACTTGTTGCTCCCACGTTAAGGGCTGGATGGGCCCAAAAATTGGGTTTTTTTTATCCCCAAGCTCCAATCACCACAACTCTTTGCAAAACATTCTCATTTGACATAAGTATGAACATACAAAAGTTTGGAGTTTGCACAATGCGTGTAAGTGTCAAAACTCAAACATCTAAAAATCCAGTGTACACCACTGTATCAGGATAGAAAATATTAAAAAAATAATAATTTGCAACTAAATAAAATATTTACAGCTCTAAGTTCTCTACAAATTGAAAAAAAACATTTTTCCTGTAATAAAAATTATAATAATAATAATAATAATAAAAACTATTAAAACAAGTCAAAACTATTTAATTAGACCACCTTTTACTCTATTATTAATTCAAATATTTCAAACCAATTTGAACGCGCATTTTATTTAATGTATATATATTTTAATATTGTTTTTTCAGGTGCTTAACACAACGTGGGGTGGGAGTTAAGAAGGTGAGTGGGGAAATTTTCGTCCATACCTAATAAACGATAGTAAGGAAGAATCTTAATAAAAAGATGGGTGAGAATATTTTCTCAAAACTTATGAACGGAGGTAATGGGTCCTAAGCAAAAAGGATTTTTTTTTTTGGTTAACGATTTTGATAGCCTAATTGCACTGAAATTTTTTGTTTTTATCAGTGAATTGATATTTTCTAATTTTGAAGAGGTGACATGAATATTATTGAAAATTGAACCTTGGAAGAGTGCTTTTTTTATCAGAAATAGTAAAATTGTTAAAAAATAAAAACCTGAATAATGTTATAAACTCATTTCTTTTTAAAGAACAGTTTAATATATAACACCTGGTATATGTAAGTATACAAATGTTTATGGTTACAAAAATATTTTATTTTTCTAATTGATAGACTGCCTGCTAAAACTAAAACCTCAGTCGATGTAGCGGCATTCGATGCATGTTTTAATTAAAGTCAATTGATGAATTCTATCTACATTTTTTCATATTAAAAAAAAATTATGTTTTATTTTTTGTTTATTATAATATTCTTATATTTATAGTTATATTATTTTAATATGTTAATCTCATTATTGAGACATAACCCTATTATTTTTACGTCACGCCCTGCATGTTCTACCTATTTAGAGTGTTTATATGGATAAAAACTACCCCACCTAATGATATTTATTTAGCAAATTACGCAATATTATCAAACCTTCAAGGCGAGTTTCCACTCATCCGTTTTTCTCCGGTAACGCGTTATAACGGGAAAAAAAAAGAAAAAATAATCGCGTAAGCATGCGTAATAAAAGTTTTAATTTGTCTTAAGAAAAACTGCGCATGTTCGAGGAATTATTTTTCCGTTCCCTTTCCCGTTCCCGTAGAAAAACAGATGAGTGGAAACTCACCTTTAATGTTACCAAATAATTTTTGTAAATCGAAATATCTTTTATTAAACTTTCATTTTTAGTGTTTAAATAAAAAAATTGATTTTTTTGTAAATCACGTGAGCTTAAAAACATCCCGCTTGTGCGAGGTGTTTTTTAACATACGAAATTTATCCCGCCAGTCCGAGTACCTCGGTTTTGCGGGACAGTTTTTCTCCATATAATCACCCCCTTTGTCATGTATACACACTTTATGCATGTTCTAGTTTGATAGACCACGTTAATTTCATTTGCGACAATACTCATTTATTTTGTTTCCAACAATATTCATTAGACTAATTTGCGACAGTACTTCATGTTCGACAATCAAAATGCAACAATTGTTTCGTCAATTGAAATGCGACAATTTGCTACGTTATTCCTTATTCTGCTTTTTACAATCAAAAAATGCGACAATCACTCGACATTCTAAATTTTGCGATATTATTCCCCACACCTTTTTGAAGTTGGTTTACATAGAAAGTTTGTTTAATTTTGAGATACAAGGTCGGGTGAATAAAAATGAGCAATTGCTTTTACTCAGTAATTGGTCAGCTTTACGTAAATAAAAACTTTAGGAGTTTTCCTCAAACTTTTATTCACGTAAAGCAATTTACTCAGTAATTGTTCAGCTTTACGCGAGTAAAAACTTATTTAAAATTACTCAAGCTTTTTTTGACGTAAAGCTGACCAATTACTGAGTAAAAGCAATTGCTTGATTTTATTCACCCGGCCTACAGTTTCTTTGATGACCACGTAACAAATTAATAAACCAAGGGATTAGGGGGAAGTCTTAATAAGGGAAGGCATGATGGAAAATTTTTCCAAAAATTAATAAACGTCCCCTCTCATGTATTAAGCACCTAAAAGTATTTGTAAATTCTTAAAAGATTATCTAAAATGTTGTTCTAAAAACATATTTTAAACTGAGTTTTCGCTGCATTCATCATCGCAGACAATTTTATAGAATATTATTTTTACTTTTATATATATTCAAAAAGCTTTACCTTGGCAAAGTTTCACTATACCAGTTGCTGCGATCATCAATAATGCCAAAATATTTATTATAGTAAACATTTTCTGTACAATTGTTCCAAAATTAACACTAATGCAGTTTATGAAAAGTATTACTCCTAAAATAAAAGAAGTATGCCATTTGAAAAAAATATACTTTTTAAAAGTTTTATTTTTATCACTAAATAATTCTTCTACCAATAATTATGGCTGCAATTATTTTAATGTATATTTCGCCTACTTTAGCTGCAGAAACAATGTAACTTGCGCAAGTTAAAACTATCATAACAAATGTCATTGGAGATAATATAACTACACTTATAAATCCATATATAAATGCAGGTAAATCTCCGAAACCTTCATATACAAAACTATAGTCTGAACCGGATGATGCCGGAAACATTGTACCAAGTTCTATATAACATAAAGCAGAAAATATTGCAAGAACTCCACTGCATGTCCAAACAATAAGAATTAAACCTGAACTACCAGAATGCTTTGCAACTTCACTTGGCGATACAAAAATTCCACTTCCGATAATTGTCCCCATAAGAAGGGCTACGGCACCAAATAATGTAATTTGCCGTTTAAAACCTTTATCATTTACTGTTTGATGTAATAAACTTTCGGAATCATCATGACAATCGTTTGCGTTCTGACTCCATTGCGTCAGGCTCTCGTCAATTCCAGTGCTGCAACCTTCAATCATTTGCCTTCAACGTAAAGAATTAGCTTATTAGTGGGTTCTCTTATGTGTTTAAATTAAAATTTATAACAAGTATTAGAGAAATATTACAAATTCTAATAATACATTATTTATTTATTTTTACTACTCAAAAAAAAAAAAGTAAATAAATAAATAAAATACTATTAAAATTTGTGCATAGTTTCAATTATATTAAATATTTGTATGACGCATTTACAACATTTTCTCACCTTTTTTTTTAAAGTCTTAAAATCGCATTTTATATTAACTAAGTATCTGTCTGAAAAACCCAAAAATGTCTTTAGTTTTTAAACTGTTGCGATTTATTTACGAATAGATTTTACAAAACTTCCAACAATTTCAACAAAAATTAATTAACATTTAAAAAACACAATTCAGAAATCATCATAAAATAAAAAAACTACGAGTTCACACTTAATCCGTCACAAATTGTGGTTTTTACTATATTTAATTATCAAAACCTTGTTTTCTTAATTAATAAAAATAGCAAAACCAAAGTTTTAAATGCATATTAACCAATCATTTATCAAGGTTTACATAAAAAGCAAAGAAAACAAAGAATTGAAATAAAAATTATTAAATACTTTTTAAAGAATTATTAAATTTTTTAAGATTATTAAATTACTATTTAAAAATTATTAAATATTATTTAAAATAAATTATCAATAAGTAAATCAAACTAGGGGCCTATCCTATAAAACTTTTACAATATTGTAAACTTTACAATGCAATTTCGCCGAAATTTTGTAGTTACATTGTAAAATTTAAGGCGTTCTATAAAACAATGACGTTTTTATGTAATTGGCGTTTTTAAGTAAAATCTAAAAATAGATCTCGCAAAAGCAGTTTGAAATTGCGCACTAAATTAACTTTGAACGGTAGGATATCAAAGTAAGAAAGTTATTTAAAAAGTTAATGACGTATTTTTAAAATGAATTTTGAAAATTGTTTACATCATTTCTGCAATGATAAAAACATTTAAATGATTCGGTTTTTTCCAAAACTAAATTGGTAGTTAGCCTACAGATAAATAAGATAAAAGCCTCAAGATAAACAATAATAAGACAATACTAGCAAAGTTAGTGGATGGAAATAAATGGGATGATGTTTCAATTTACAAACGGGCTCTGTATGGTTGAAACATTAATTATACCTTACCTTTTAATTTTAGCTTTACTTCCTTGTGGCATAAATTCTTCGCAACTTTTGTACTTAAAAAACCAAAAGCATAATTTAATAATTTTATAATCCTATATAAAGGAGATTGTTTTCAATAAAATAATTACGTGAAAACAAATAAAACTTTTAATAAGAAAACTAATTTTTTATGGAAATGCTAAGAAAAGAACAAAAATATATTATGGCTAACTTCATTTTACAAAACAAAGAGAAAATGATCGGTTCTCTCTCTTCGTCTTGCAGCAATCAAGACCGAAAAGAAAAATGGCAAGAAGTAAAAAATCTTCTAGTAGCTCACGGTCTTTCTTCTACTGGTTCAATTGAACATATTCGGACAACTGAGTGGCAAAACCTGAGGAGATCAACGATAGATAAGTTTAAAAAACTCAACAAATCTGGTGCTGAAGGTGGCCAACTATCTGACTATGAATGCACTGTGATGGACATTATAGGAAAAGAATCAGCACATATTCTCCCAGTCAAAGTTGATGACATGAGAGTTGGAAAGAAGGTTTTGACCAAATACCTCGCCGGTGATGCCGAAACTGAAAACATTTCTTCAAATAACTTTGTGGACATCCCAGAACCAGGTAGTTTTGTATTATATTTAAATATCAATTTATTTTTTCTTAGATATTTTTAAAAGTTATTTATATCAGTTATAACAGTTGTTGATAAAAATTCTAAATAAAAATTACAAAGTAGACGTAAAGTGGTACTGTGGTTGATAAATGCAACATCTGTGTAAAATTAAAATTTGAAGTGTTTTCGTTTTAAGTAAAAACACTCTATAATTTATAAAAATCTCAAATGAGCAAGACGCAAATTCATCAACTCTTGCATTGTTATGCCATATAATCCAGCCTCTAGCCTAGAGTTTGTCCCTAAAACGCCTGTCGAAACAGTTCCAAAGTCTTTAGCTGAAAGATCAATTGGCCAGAATATAATATAACCAGTTTCCTCTACATGTTCTATCAAACGTTCTGTAAGAAGTTTATTTTATAACAATTATTTTAGCTTTTCTATAATAATGTATTACTGTATCTTCTTATGTGCCCAGTTAATAACAATCTAGCTAGTTTGTGTCAAGTATTCGCAAAAATATAAGTGTAACATTAAATTTTGAAAATACTTATCATTAATTATAACCAACCAACATTTCTTCAATTAATAACTCTTTTTTTTTTAAATGAGTTATTAATTGGAGTCCAATTGATATTATCATATGCATGCAAAAATTTATTTAAAATGCAAACGTTATAAAATATAATTTAAGTCTCCACTTCAACATGTTTTTTTAAACATCTATAAGTAAAATTGTTTAGGTTCCTTTAAAACGACCGACATCATCGTCCTCTTACATCTTTTCGGATAATGAGTACGGCACATTAAAAAAAGCTAAGATTAAGCAGGAGCTGGACATGTTAAATAAAGAAGCTGAGTACAGAGCCGAACGTCATCTGATGGAGAAAATTTGGTTTAAGGCGGAAATCGAAAAATTTATTCTTTAGCAAGAACTTCTCCGAGCTCAGACCCAGTCTTTAACGCCTCAAGGCGCCCAATCATCCGAATCAAATACTCTCAAGCATAAAGAGTCATAGATGATATATACATATACACTTAAAGATAGAAACTTTCATATTCTTTATTAAAGTTTTATTATTAATCTTTATTATTTTTATTATTGTCAAAAATTTGTTGTATAACAAGTTTAAAACTTTTATACGTTTTGTTAAAGAGTATTTTATTTATTAACTTAACATTAAAAAAATCTGAAAAGATTCAGAGCTCCTGATGAGTTAAAAAATATTTTAATATAAGTTGTTTACATTAGGGTCAGGTTAAAATCACATTTTTTGAACGAAGCAGAAGATATTAACAAGAGAAAAACTTAAAATTTTTGTTTCACTAAAATTTAATAATTTTTTTTTTATTTGCATCAGTGAAACAACTGCAGTATTTGACCCCTGCGAGTCCCTGATTAAATTTCATCTTCAGTTTTATCTCTAGCTTGAAAAGGAAAGGGTGTGGCAGGTAAAACTGAAAGGTCTTCTCCCTCATCACCAACTTTAAGGCACATGTTGTGAGTCATGCAAGCACACACAATGAGTTGCCACTGTAAGGTGTGATGAGCTAGTTGTTTCAAGGGTAGCCTTGATCACCTAAGACAACTGCTCCAGGAAAAATTCGCTCACCCCGGACTTCAAAAGCATCCCAAAGTGCTGATTGACGTAACACCTCAAATGTTTGAATAAGAAATCTAAATTTTTCAGACTTGCTGGTTATTAATATACTAAATATGAAAAATGTAGAAAATATAATAATTTGTAGAGTATAAATTTAATGATTTTAAAACAAAATAATTTTTGATATTTTAACAGACAAAACTTGTATGTCAAAAAATTAAAATTGTTTTTGTTTAAACAATATCTCTTTTAAATGTCCGAGAAACTAAAAATTTTACAGAATTGCTTATATGGATTTTACATTAGTTAAAAACTTATTTGCTTACTTTATAAAATACTGTTATTTAGATAATTGATAAATAAGCTAAAATTCATTTTATACAAATTCAGTAAAACAAAAATCTACCCTAGAATCATGCCATCGCCCAGGGCCATCAGCATAAACATAATAAATGTACAAATCTGGTCCACATACGCAAAGGACATTCAATGAATGAAACTGGTGGCGATTGAGGAATGCATCTTTATCTTTTGATGGAGAGATGATTGGTATGTGACATCCATCAATGCAACCACATACACTTGGAATCTGTGCCACAGTGTAAAACTTACTGAGTAGGGTGTCAACAAGATCAGGCCAATGAATAATTTTCTCTCGCTGACAAAACAAACTATCCAGAACTGCATGAACTGCTCGATTGCTGGTATCTTTTCTAACACCATGACAATCTCGCTCAACATGGTAAAATGATGCAGTTCTTAAATTTTAAAAAGTTTTTATCTATTTTAAATACTATTTAGAATAGAGCATACTTGAATTAATGCAAATTCAAAATGAGGTAAAAATAATTATATCCAGACAAAACTAAGAATACTACATAAAAACCAGTTATGCAGAAGAAAAATAAAAGCTGGTACTTAAAGAATCTTAGCAGCCCTTCCAGATATATTAAATTGAATTTATATAAACACCTTGAAATTTACATAACTAGTATAAAAATTTAAACTATGAAAACAATGCCATCATTAAGTTGTAATAACATTTACCCAAAAAATGTTAAAAATTTTAATTTGATCTCTTGGGGATAGACTTTTATTACTTTGAGTTGGATGATGTAGATCATCTTTGAGCATTTCTGCAAGCTCATCCAAAACTGCAAGCAGCACTCTATACCGTTCACGAAAGACAGCATCAGAGATATTGTCTTGAAACTTGCGTTCCTGAAACTATTTTTCAGAATGTTAAACAAATATTATATGTATATATATATATATATATATATATATATATATATATATATATATATATATATATATATATATATATATATATATATATATTTATAAATATATATATGTATAAATATATAAACAAAATACTGTTACTTTATACCTGTCGAGGTTGTCTGACAGAGACACTTTTTTGAAAGTTTAAGAAATCTTCAGCATCAGACTCTGACTCAGAATTGTTCATTTTAAAGGGCTGATAAAACAAAATTATAGAGTATTTAAGCAACAAAAAGTAATATTGAAGTTTGTTATAACTTTTTTAACTGTTAAAGAAATTTAATGCAGAAAATGCAAGTATTTTGTTATTTATTAGCCTTTTATTTTTTA